CGTAGCCACCCTTGCTATCAGTGCAAAGTATTCCTTGCACAGCCAAGACTTGTTTTTCTGTCATCTCGACCAAATCTCTGCGTAGAGGACGATCATTGTCTGGACCCCCTGCTCCATGAAGTTCACTCCACAGCAGTCGTGCCCGGAAGTTGGCGTCCTCAGCCTCAAGCACTGACTGCACTTCTGCGTCGTTGCTGCTGATAGATTTCCGCTTCAACTTCCAGGTCCGCCATGAAATCACATTCATCTGACAAACTTGTCCTGACTCACATTCAGGTCCCGCAACCAAGGTGATCATCCCGCCTGTTGAGTCACCTCGAGGTCGATTGTTATGGGCCTGGTCGCCCACGCTGATGAACCTCAAGTCAGTCCAATGTTGGACTGTAGGAAACTTAGTGAAGAAAAGAAAGAAGGGTTCACGGCGTACTTCACCAATCATTTCCTGAATCTCGCGGGCGGTCTGCATAGTTCCCGAGGTAACCAACTCTGTCAGGAGCAGAGTGCACCTGGCGCAGATCTGTGGTTGAGACTGAATGGCTAACCACTGTAGCGCCCCCAAGCTTGTTCGACAGGCTTCAATGTCCCTCTTTGTCAGGGCCTCCTCGGAGCGGATCCTGTCGGGGTCGATGTCAATGTCCTGCAAGGAGTCCACGTAGTAGTTCTGGTTGACCACAATCTTGTCGTAGCCTAACTGATCCTTCGTGGTCATCGCGTCGGTGCCAGCATGGCGGTAGGCACCGGTCTTTGCCATTCCCCATTTGTAGGCCTTGTCGATCTTGGCTTTGACTTCTAACCATTCTTCGGACCCATCTCCGATACGATGAAAATCATCCACATGACCTCCCATGGCTCCAATTGTTTTGGGGCGTCCTTGATCTAGCCGTGTCCGTGAGAGCCAGATCCGAAGACATCGCTCGCCCATAATGGCTTGGGCTCCATGCGTAGTCAATGTTTTATGAAGATCTAACCAAAGTCCTCGGGGGGCGGTCGTGCTTCCATAGATGTTCCGTAACACCCGCATCACGGAACTCTCATCTAACCCGAAAGCTTCGCGTAGCTCTCTGACGCCACTTGTCCATAGCTCGCTGTCGGCCTCCGTCGGCTGCGTCTGAAGGAATGCGGTAGCCAGGTCCAGCCCTTCCAAGGTCCATTGTTCGTGCGCCGCCATCGTGTAGAGCAGGTTCCGTCCCAATGTAGATTGCACCGGGCTCGCAGTTTTGAACGTCGGATCCAGTAAGCTCGGATGTTCGAAGCCCAAGAGAACAATGCGAGCCTTCGCCTTCTTCTTCCCGTCCTTGGCATGAACAGTGTTCTCGTTGGCCTGTGCATCCTTGCGGGCATCGTCCTGTTCTTCTGGCGGCACAAGCTTCCAAGTGAGAACCCATCGCGCCCGGACAATGCGATTGGTGTCGTAGGCACGCTTTGTTTCTTCGTTGTCCAAGCACTTCCGAACGGCTTCATTCTTGATGAAGGAGTCCACCTCCTTCGCCTTTGCCCGATTGAACAGCTTCCTTTCACCCGGTGAAAGACGAGCCAGAGAAACTTCAGAGTCTCTCATTTTCTTCACCAGGTACGCTTGCGGGTTTGACTCCAAGAGCTTCCGCTGTCTGTTAGATGTGGGTGCTGGGACGTCGAACTCAATCTTGAGAAATTCCTGCGTGTCTTCCATGGCAGCAAAGATGTCATGTTGAGCTTCTTGGGCAGCTTCTTGATATAGGTTGTCCACCCAATCATCACTCACCCGAGGCCTTTTGGTCTCTGTGTCGTCATACTCATTCACCTCAGCGGTTGCTGTCTGCTTGTTCGCAGCAGGCAAGGTAGAGGACGTAGCATCGGAGGTCGTAGACGACTGCGGCAGAGAGGTTGGGTTGGTCTTTCGGCTCACCCTTCGCGAAGGTGTTGTGGTCGTAGTAGCGTCTGGCTGAGGTGGTAGATCAGGTAGTTCACACTCTTGATCGTCAGGCTCCTCGTGGATGAGATCGGTGTATTCTCGCTTGGGAAGAACATCGGCTAAGCTTTTCCACTTCGACACATCTTCTTCACCTGAAGTCTCAAAGGTAAATCTTTCCACCTTGGTGACAGGGCGTACGGAATGAACAGAGCACCGATAGAGTCGGGAACCGATTAGTACCCAGACAATGTGCCGGCGTTGATCGTCGGCTTCTTGTTGAGGAAGAACTTCATGAAAGATCACGCGACCGGGGCCGATCCAATGAGGTCGTCCCGACATTTTGAATCCACCTCGTGGACCCTTGTGGATCTCCTTGGGCCAGAGCTTCCTCCAAATCTTCACCAAGTCCATCTCCTTGGATTGTCGTAGAGGTTGACGAACATTGGTGTTGGTCAGCTTCGACAGCACTCGCTGAGATCGCATCTTCCGCGCAATCTCCTCTGCCTTTTGTCGACGAAGTGTGTGAAGTCGTCCTCAGGAAGGGAGGCGTAGGTCCGAACATCTTCATCCGAAATGGTGTAGTTTTGTCCAAAGGCCCATTGGAAGGCTGAATAGCCAGCCGTGTACTCGGCGGAATTCAACGAAGCCACAGTGAGCTGTAGAGTGACGAATGGATGCTGGTCCATACTGTCCATGTGTATCGCTGTGGCCGTTTGCTTCACGTCTTGAACACCAGCTTCAGCTACACCATGTGCCCATTTCTCCTTGTCCGCGATGAAGTGGGGCTGAATGTTCACGGATGCCAGGAAGTCGTGCATCTTTTCAGACGCAAAACTATACGCAGCATCAAATATCACAACCTCTGGTTTCGGGTAAGTGCCCAGCCACCACTCAGCAAAGGACTGAATCACCTCATCCGTCGATTCTGCCTGCATGGCCAACACCTCATAGATCAGCAGTGGTTGCACAACCCGAAGTTTGGTCGCCGTGTCCATGAACAAAGCAAACTTTGCCTTCTGCTTGGTGCCTGGAATGTTCCACTCTCCCACATCCACGGTAATTGCTTGCCAGGCCTTCCACATAGGTGTTGTAGCCGCAGGTGGTACTTGCCCCGAACTCGTTCCTCCAGGTTTCAGCGACGCACATGCAGGACAATAGTGCTCAAGAGCTGCCTTGACCTTCCACTCGGCATGCCCTCCATCCTTGACGATCCTGGCAAGGTTCCTGTTGGTGGGATGACCAGCGGCTCGGTGTATCTTGCTGATTTTGGCCTTCCAAGCATCAACTTCCTCCTGGGGTACGGACTGCGCCACCTCAACGGCCATGACATTGTCACGGGGACCTAGGACCTCCTCAGATGCTGTAGAGCTAGACATCAAAAAACGACCATGGGAAGAGGACGAAATTCTGGAGTCCTGTGTCTCGCTTGCTTGTAGTTCTTCATGTTGGGAAGAGGAAGAAATTCTGGAGAACTCCTGTGTCTTGCTTGCTTGTAGTTCTTGACGTCGAGGTAGAGGAAACTCAAGTTGGTAAAGTTTCCTTCTGTCTTCTTTGCTCAGCGATTCCACCAGGCGTGTGGTGTAGGCGGATACCACCAGCCTCGTACCTCGCCAACTCTGCGTCGCATGCATCGTCCTTGGGTTGAAGGGCACGATGCGGTGTCGAACCTCACGTACATATCCTCGCTGCAGACTGCCATCTGGTAGTCGACGACGAACTGGTAGCTCCCCATCAGGCGATTCGCCCTGTAGCCAAAGACCGCCATTGGTGAAGTCGCCAAAGCCAGCCAAGAAATTCCTCGAACACTTGTGGTTGTGAACGTCTCTGTGAGGAAGAGTCTTCACATTGAACGACACCATCAAGGTAGACCATCGCTCAGTTGGTAGTTGAGAACGAAGAAAACCATTGATCATGCGCACCAGTTCTCCGAACTGACCTGTAGAGGTTGTGACACCATGAAATGCGCCATGGGAGTAGGCGCCCAGGGTGATGGAGTTTTGCCCAGAGCGGGTACCTCGAGTATGCGTAGCGGTGGCGGTGGTCGTAGAAGTCAGATGTTCTGCAAATCGAAGAAGCACGTTTTGAACGTTCTCAAAGGTGTAGCGCTTCTGTAGTCGGACTTCTCGAGCCAAGTGTTCCACCACAATGCGTTCCGAAGCATTGAACATAACCTCAAGGTCCATGGGCACAGACTCATGGTCACTGTCTTCCGCTTCGTGAAGGTCTCGGATCTGTTCGAGCTCCTCGTAGGTCTCTGGCTCCTCATCCAAGGCCGGTAAATCTGCACGAAGCTGCAGTAGATGTCGGTGGCGCGAAGGCGCCAGTTGTTCTCGCCAATGGAGCACCACACCTTGCACAAATCTCCGTGGGTAGTAGTAGTCGACGTGGTGATCCTTCCCCTCGGTGGGGCAATGTACTCCATGATTGCCGGGGCATACCTTAGCACGAAATTGCTTGTGGAACAGCTCGTCCGTGGTCTTGATAAGCCATTGCTTCTTCACAAACTGCCCGGTTTCACTGTCTCGGAGGCCGTAGTTGCACCCATCCACTCGACACGGCAGCCACGGTATGCCGTTGTCCTCCATGTAGCCGGAGAGGTCCTCCAGAGGATGTTGCTTCCAGCCAAAACAGGGGTGAGGCCATTCGAAGTACACTTGTACGGCGGGATCTCGTTCCAGACATTCCTTGACAAAGGAGTTCATTTCCCACAGCATCCGTCGCTCCTTGCGCCTCATGGTGTTGAGCTTCTCCTTCTGATCTGCAGTGTTGTAGTGAAGTGTGGACCATGAACACCATTTTGACGAAGGCAGGGAAAACCAAAGTCGCTGGGGACGAGCTTGTTGACACAGTTGCCGTAGTCGTTGCCAAGTATCCTTCTGATACAGGTCGTAGCCGTTGTGCAGATTGATGGCTCGAGGTTGTAGTCCTTGCTCTCGAGCAGCTTCGCTTAGAAGGCAGTGGGGTGCACACGAGATTTCCCAAAGTCCATCTCGTCCCGTGAGGTGTAGATCCACCAGCATGGATGCCAGTGAGGAAGTCATCGTGGCCACCATTGCCATGACTCGCTTGCTGATAAACAAGGGTGGTCCCGTTGTTTTGGGTTGATATTTCACATGGCTTGGTCGCGCTCCGCCTCGAGCGCCGCAATCAGCTCCTCTTCGTGGGTGAGCTGGTTCTCCACCATGCCCCACGTCGTGCTCGTCGACGAAGCGTACTCGCCGGGAACCGCCTTGTCCTTGAGATCCTTGATGGACTTGGCCAGAACTGCCTCGGCTGTGATCTTGTTCATCATGCGGTGGCACACCTTGGCTGTGGGACGTGTTGTCCCCAGCAGCTGTTGAAGTTCCCGAAGCATGAGTGTCACCATTGGCCCATTGTTGGTCGCTGTGCTGTTGGCCGGGGATCCCTTCCTTGGCGTGTACAAGAGTCTCAGGTTGCAACACTCGCAGTGGATCCATTCGCCGTGGGCGTTCGACTGAGGAGCACCGGGGCGGTGTTTCCCGAAGCATGGCCACTGTTGCGGCTGACTGCGGGGATCCCTCGGGTCGGCCTTCATGCGCCTCGATGGATCGGGGGATCGTGCTTTCTTCCTTGCTTGACTCTTTGCCTTCGCGGCTGCGATCAAGATCTGCTCGGTCTCGGGGTCGATCTCCGGGGGAGCACTCGTGGAGGCTGCCATCGCACAGAGATGAGCTCGAAAAGGATGTCGTTGAGGGCTGTTGTGCTGTTCCAGCACCCGTCATTTGAGCTGAAAGGTGATCCGAACATCGAAGACGTTGAGCATGCTGATACATGGTCCACAGGCGGCTTCGAGACTGCTCAAGCTCACGGTCTTGCAACTGTTGATCACAAACATTCAGATCGACCCACACTGTCCAGAGCTCAAGCATCTGCTGTGACAACTCGCTCCCAGGCTTACTGCAGGCTTCACGAACTACGACATGAGCGTTGCCTTCAAGACATCGATGGCCCTTAGTTAAGTACTGAACAATGTCCAAGGTGAGATGGCCCTTGTGGTTGATGTTGAGCTGGAAGATTTCGGGATTGGATTCCTTCGACATCATGGCTAGGCCAGTAGAAAAGTCAATGAGCATTCCATTACCTTCGGGTCCCAGGAAGTCCAATCCTATCAGGATGGGTACTAGTGCAGATCGATCGAAGTTGGCTTGGTAGAACTCGGCAGGGTTCGGTAAAATGAACAAGGAGAAACTTCGTGTAGACCCTGAGACCCAGCTCTGTAGCGTTACTCTACACAAGGCTCTCCCCCACTTGCCGTTGCCGAAACGAAAGTATGGCCGCGCAGACTGGTCCATCTCAATCCTTGCGTTCCTGTCATGGGCTAGCACTGAAGAAATCAAGGACTGTACAACCGCTTCTGGAGCCGCCGAGGCGGTGGCACCACAGTCCAACATGCCACGCTCAGCGAGAGAAGGCTCCGCAGTCGAAGTCGCGTGAGCTTCCTTCACGTCCTTCATCTCCAGGCCACCAACGAAGTAGTCCATTGCCGCATACGCATTCACGGAGCGTCCGGAGAAGTCCTTGGTCTTCGACTTCCCCTTGCCCTTGCCCTTTGGCCAGAGAGCCTGAGCATCCATCCAGAACCCTTTCTTGCCCTTGGACTTCCCCTTGCCCTTCTGGTAGAAGTCATCCAAGGTGGTCTGGAAGTTCTTGAACTTGCCCTTGCCACCACCAGCGCCCTTGGAAAAGGAAGAACCACGTCGCTCCGGGCACTCACGTAGTAGATGACGACCGCCACAATTGTAACATCGTGGACCACCCCCTGGAGGTGGTGGGTTTGCACCAAAGCCACGGTCTCGACGAAGAGCTTGAGTAGCTCTCTGAGCATCAGACCAAGACCTTTGAGCCTCAATGGCCAGGCTCTCCGCGATTCGCTCTGCATTCTGTGCTTCGGTCAGCTGGGCCTGAAGCTCCGGATCAGTCTGATCGCCGCCGGTAGCTTGAAGACCTTCGTGAGGGTCACGATCGTCATCTTCCCAATCTCCATGATCCCACCAGTCGCCCGCAGCGTAGTAGTCCTCGTACCACCACTCGTTGTGATCCCACCAATCATCGTCATTCATGTAATAGAGGTGGTCGTCGTCCTTCTCGTCCATGTAGTGCGCCTGATAGGGCCCAGGGGGGCCGCCGTAACCTCGCTGCCCCAGGAACTGTTCATCCCAAAGCGTCTGAAGAGCACTGGCAATGACCTCGTACTCCAAGGAATTCCGACTCGTGCTCAAGATGTCGCGCTTCTCCTCTGGACTTAATCCGGCGGCTTACAGTAGCCGCCATCCTCGTAGAACTCCAAGCAAGAAGGAGTCGGCAAAGCTGATGTCATCCAGATGACCTGAAGACTCGGGAGGTTCAGGCTCCTTCGGAAGGCTCCGATGACTCGGAGAGGAGCCGGCAGTAGCTCGCACCGGCTCTGCTGGCACAGGATCAGGGCCGCTCGGGGTAGCAGACGGGAGGCCGGTGTCGATCTCCGCACCATCTCCATCCGCTCCATCATCTTCGTACCAACCATCCTCACCAGAACCATACCACCATTCTCGCTCCTCTGGCTCTGGTTCTGGCAAACCGAAATCACGTTGGTCCTCCTTGATGCCCTGCTTCTCCTCGTAGAGGCGGGAGATGGCCTCGACGAACTCCTCGTGAACCAAGGTCTCCCTGACCAAGAAGTTGCCGATGCTCTCGCCTTGACTCCTGCGGAAGCTGAAGTATTGTTGACATATGGCCGCCGCGTTGGGCAACGTTTTCCTGACAAGAGGGCTTTGAGCAAGTCTTTGGAGATAAGATCTCACACCGTCAGACTTGTCAAACAAAGTCATCGGCCATGACATTGCAAGTAGCCGAGCAGGTCCAGTCAGCTTGCCTATAAGGTGTGCTGCGCAGTGACGCCTTTTGTGTGGTGGAGTGCTCTGTACATACCACGCCACCTCACGGACATATCGTCGCCAGCCTCTTGCAGCACCGTCCCACGCAGGAACACTGGATCGAAAACGGTCTTCGGGCATCGTAGGAATTAGCGCCCGATAAATCAAAAGAAAAGACGGGGAAAACCACGTCCTCTGGGAAGTGGGCAGACCTTGTGCAGGTAGAAGAACAAGTAGTCAGCAGTTGGCACGCAGTCCTAAGAAAAGAACAGAGAAGCAGTAGCTCAGGACCGTAGTACCTTAGGTATCGAGGTCCCCAGTCTTCTGCTCCGCTACCAATGCAGCGAGTTGCTGCAATGGTAGGTTTGGGCTCAACCGTAAAGCAGATAGAAACTCCACACGCAAATCAAGAGCGCACTGCTCCACTGTTTTCCCGGGTGCTCAGTGCACCGTCCGAATGGCTCAGGTCACTACAGGACCGTCCGGTCCAAGACAGGGGCCCCTGCTTGAGCCTAGGGCCACCCATCTGAAATGAACAGACATGTCATGACTGAAGAAGAGCACATCTGTTGCATATTCCTTAATTAAGGGACATTGGAGTCTCTGGGTTCATGGGCCTCTCCCTACGAAGGGTGGTCGAGTTCAGGGTCCGAGATTTCAGGGTTTAGGGTTTAGGGTTTAGGGTTTAGGGTTTAGGGTTTAGGGTTTAGGGTTTAGGGTTTAGGGTTTAGTAGTACTCCATGAGGTTCCCTAAAACCTCCCCAAGGATCCCTAGCACCCTCCTCCCTTGAACCACCCGGGGTTTAGGATTTAGGGTTTAGTAGAAGCCCTTTACAGGTGGG